CTCTGGCTTTAATCACACAGAAAATTTAACGTGACTATAATTTCTTTTTTTCCATCAGTTTCTCCTCCATCAATTCTTCACCTCTGCCTATCTGCCTATCAACATGCTTGAGATTCTCCCAGGCCTTCAATAACTGGTTTGGCTCAGTGGATAGAGCATCGGCCTGTAGACTCAAGGGTCCCAGGTTCGATTCCAGTCAAGGGCATGTACCTTGGTTTCGGGCACATCCTCAGTAGTGGGTGTGTAGGAGGCAGCTGATCAATGTTTCTCTCTCATCAATGTTTCTAACTCTCTATCCCTCTCCCTTCCTCTCTGTAAAAAACCAATAAAATATATATTTTTTAAAAAAGAGGTTCCTGTAACCAAGTTACTGTCTCAGTCCCTTGTTCCATTTGCTGCTGGAATTCTGGAAAGGCCGGCCTCGCTAATTATTTCCATTTCATCCCCATGCTTTCGTTCTCGAATCCAGGAAAAGCAGGCCTCCTTCCCCACCGCTGGAGATATCTTCCTGAGGGTGACAAGTCCCAAGTACAGTGGCCTTTTCTTGGTTCTCTTCCTTCGTATGCTCTTGGGGTATTTGACAGTGTTGCTCTATCCCTCCTTTGAAGTATTTCTCATGTGGTTTTTTTTATGACACGAAATGACGGTGGTTTCTTTCCCCTCCCTGACCAGGCCATTGTCTTTTTAGTTTCCCTTCCTCCCCTCCTCCTGTCAGTGTCATTATTTTCCAGACTTGTCCTCACCTCTTTGACTTCTCCAAGACATCTTGTCTGCACATATACTTTTATGACGTTATTACATCTGTGTCAGTAAATCTGGTCTTTCTCTTCAGCCCCAGCCTCCCATTTCCAAATGTCTCTAGACATTTCCAACTGAGCGTCTCCTACTGCATGTAACCTGCTGAGGATCTAACATATAGTCTTCCCAGCAGTTCTGCCTGTGCTCTCCTGTTTCCTAATGGTGCTACCCCTTCTCCCGGGAGCCCAGACTTGAAACCTTGATTTTTTTTTTTTTCACCACAACCTCTCTCTTCTCTCCCATAATCAATCAGCAAATGCTATCAATTATTCTTTGACAGTATATTTCTATATTTCCTTCCCTGCTGCTACTATACATTCACTCATTCATTCAGTAAATATTTATTGAGTGCTTACTAGTTGCCAAACATTCTGCCAGCATATTTTTTTTTTATTTTGTTTCCTGTCTCAAGTTTGTCTCCCTGGCAATTAATTCAACTGTGTTGCCAGATGTATATTCAGAATAATCTATTCTACTTTTTATTGATTGATTTTAGAGACAAAGAAGGGAGAGGAGAGAGAGAGAGAGAGAGAGAGAGAGAGATTTGTTGGTTGATTCTTGTATGTGCCCTGACCAGGGATGAAATTCAAAACCTTGGCATATCGGAAGGAAGCTCAACTGAGCTCCCCAGCCAGAGTCAGAATATTCTATTCTAATTTTCACCTCCGTGCTTAGAAACATTTAATGGCTGTCCTACACCTATTGTAAAATAGAGCACTCTGCAAAGCCCCAAGTGTCCCATGGATCTCCTTAAAGGCACCCAAATATGTGAGTGTAATGGGAGAAAGCTCTTCAGCTATACAGCTCTCCTCCCATTTCATAATAATTTTTTTAAAGTATTGGAAACTACTGTTTAAGCCTTTGCCTGAGACCTAATGTCCTCTTTAACCAAACCCCAAATGACTTCCCAGCCTAATGTGCTCCTAACCCGCTACAGACAACCCACTTTTAGACCAAATCAGACCGCTGTTGTCACCCCTTTAAATCAAGTATGCCCCCTCCCAAGCCTTGGCTCGCACCACTTCCTCTGCCTGCACCATCCTGCACGCACCTGCCCATGCCGAATTCTGTATCTAACTTTCAGAAGGCCACTCATTTCTAAGAAGAGCTTTCTTGCTAAAATACTTGCTTGATTTCATTAATTGTATTCATACCTTATGTGCCCCCCAAGAGTTCTAGATGTTTTGAAGGCAAAAGTGATGTTCTGAATAATTTTCTATCTTCCACGGTAGCTAATGTAGTGCTTTGTCTATAGAAAGCATTAGATCGGATCGACACTTGTTAGATGGATGAACAAATCTGTTTTCCTATGGTCTTGCCCCGCAGGGATCTGGCATAAAGAAAAAAAAAAAATTGTACAACCTTTCCTGTGTATGTAAAAGAGATCAAGAAGAAAGAAAAAGAGGAACCCGAAAAGGAGGGGCAAATGAGAATGATATGTACAAAGAGCATAGCTTCTTACTCAGTAGACCCAAGAAAACAGGAGAGGTGAGGAATAACCCTTCTTTACTCCCTCTTTAGTTAACATTTTAGCACCTGTATTTTGCATTCACCTGGGAGACATTAACTCATGAAGGCTTTCCCGACCCCTGGAGGTGAGTGCCGCCGTGCTCATTAAATAGAGGGGACAACTCGGATGATCAGTGACTTAAACAAGCACACCTGGCAGAGAAATAGAGCCTAAATCACCAGGTGCTTATTACAGGATTCTGATTCCCAGCTGTGACTCCTCACCTTCTGACGCTCTCCCCAAAGTTATCATCTTTTTCCTCGGCATGGGAAAATTGTATTTGTTTCCCGCCATCCTTAGGATTATAAGTGCCCACTTACACCCCCCCTTTATACATTCAATAGCATCAACAGTCAGTGTTCTTTGAGCGCTGAATGAGTGTGCATTATTATGTACACACTCAGCTCCCGCTTTAACACAGACAATCCACACGGCCGTATTCTCAGCAGCTTCCACCCGAACCCAGCCAAAGCAGGTGGCATGAATAGCTCCGCACCACTGGGCCAATCTTGAGTATTCAAGAGATGCAAATGACTCCTTTCATTATTTTTGCTGGTTTGTCTGTTTTATGCTGGTGGAGGAGTGGCTGTTGCGCCCATGTTGTACCCCATGTCATGTTGGGCTCTGATCATCACTTGGCTTTTTCCAGGCAGCATTTAGAGCTGATAACAAGCTGTTGCCGAGAAAATGAAGGTTTTGCTGAAATCGGTTCTGCATGGAAACAGCTGACCAGTTTCCATTGCTGTAGTGTGGCTCTTTTGCTCTTGGTTGATTTTGAGTAATAGCTTCACTTCTGTAGAAAGGAGATTTTATTTGAACTCCATTCAGAGATTTGGTTCAACAAACAGGACTACAGGTCTCAGAAAATCTCTTTTGAACCTTCCAATAATAGACTTTCTCATCTATCATTCCTGAAACCCTTCATCTTTCACAGCCAGGCATATAGATAGTCTTGGTGTTCACTGTGTGCTGTGTTCGCCATTATGATGTGCTTTTTCAACTTGAGGTCCAAATAG